TGTTAGTTAATGGCGGTGTAACTTTCCAGGTCGGCACCATACAGTAAGGCTTGACATTTGAATTGAAAATTTTAAGTTTGGTAAGTTGGAAATAGTCTAGTTCTCCAAATATTGTTTAGCATTCCAATTGTTATTCTGGCCCTATTTCTTCTGTTAAAAATATCTTGTTCCGTGCCTCCGTTGGTTGGATTATCCTACCCAAGTAAGTAAAATTATTTAACTCCTCTATAGGTACTGTTCGAATGGTACACGACGACACTATTGTAACAAACTCTCATCGGTTATTTTTTTTACTTTATTGCTGCATCTTTGATTTCAGAAAAACTACGTCAAGTTTGTGAAAACAGCAAAGTTCTATTTTTCAAATGCAACTAAAATGAACTAAGTACTGAATACAATGAACAGTGTTCATTGTATTCATTGAACACATGAATACATGTAAAAATTTAGGAAAATATGAAACATCTTTAGCTAACACATGCGTCATAAAAACGGTATTTATACTAACTAGTAGATTGGAGATTGCATGGACGGATGAAAGCAAATAACCGCCATTGTAGAGATCTATTGTAACCCTCTTTCTTGAGTTATAACTCATCATACAGTCTCAGAGCTTTGACAAAAGCCAGTATCCTGTTAAAAACCCCATAGCAAACCGAAAAATGTTCTTACTTAAATCAAAGAAAACTTTTGATTTTTCTCGGTCGTAAATCCTGAGAAATTTCTTCGAGTGTCTTGGACCATTGGAGGATTTCCATTCCAGGTTACGAATGTACTCTTCCAGGTTTTTAAGGACTGTCTTATGCTCGTTTCCAAGCAAAACGGTGCTGGTCCAACTAGTAGTTTTTTCGGTATCTTTTCTAGCTAGATCGTATGCTTTTTCGTTACCTTCTATCCCTTGATGGACTGGCACCCAGAATAGGAGGACTTTATTTTCTTTGCCTAATTTGTTCAGCTTCTCTACGCATTCTTTCACTAACTTCGAATTGATGGTCACTGAGTTGATGGCTCTTGACTCTCGGATAAGGTATTTCTTGTTTCAGTTAGTTCCTATGTAAGATAAGTTATACGCATATTTCCATGGCGTAGATTTCTGCCTGAAGGATGCTGGGGAATATTTAGTTTTATGCACAAATACTCCTATGTTTGTTCCTATTTGTACTTGTAAAAAAATAAGAAAAATGTAATAAGATATAAATAACAAATATGTTGCTATATTATATTTTAGTTGTTTTACCCAAGATAACTTATATAAAAACGATCGAATTTCTCGGCTGTTCGCGGTCGATCGCACGGCAAACTAAGAAGTTATTCGCGTGCAGCTTCGACGCGACAAAGCACAATAATAATACCCCATCCGAGGTATTGTGACACATTCAGCTGGCGACAAAAGATAATGCCTCCATTGTGGGAGCACACTGAGCACCTCCTGTGCCTCCATTGAGGCCGCTAGATGGGGCCGGAGTCTCAAATCCTTTCGGCGACAATGACGCGTTCACGCGCCGCTACCTTTTGTTCTAATAGGCGCCGCCATCCCGATCGCGCGATTATTCAAGTGTGTTGGTAGTAGCTTCGTTTCTCCAGTCGATCGGAAATCGGTTGAAACGGGCATTGTGCTGGAGAGAAGGAGAACGATAGAAACAAATATGGGGAAAATAGAATAGAAAAAATATGTTTCGAATAAATTCGGAATCGTACAGAAATGTATTGTTTAAAGGAAAAAAATCGATTATTGGACTTACCACCGAGAAAAATTAAAGATTCTCCTTGATTTAAGTAAGGACAATCGGATTTTCACGGTGTCCTGTTAAATACCGTCTCCTCAATGAACAATTGGAGCTAAGAGACAATGGCGAATGGAGATTCTGTGGGGAAAATGGGGAAACACTAGAACACCTCATCACTGAGTGCGCCGAGACGACAAACATTCGTGTCGTAAACTTTGGTACAACTGATATCGGACATGGAGAAACTAGCCTCTGTAAAGCCGTCTCTGATTATAACTCATACATATACATACATACTGCCATTACTTGCTGAGGAGTATTTGACACGCACCAGAAAATAGTCACGCAAGGCGTTTTCTTTCATGAGCTTTTCTGTAACTGAAAAGCCCGATACGTGATGTTATCTGTCTACCGCACTCCGGACATTCAACAATCTTTCTTGCCTTTACTTTTTGGTTGTCGCTGTTAACTGAGTTTATAATTCTTCTCCATTGCGTTCCGTTCTGTCGGTTCTTTCCACTCATTCCGCATGTTAATCCCCTTTAAGTTTTCGTGGAAAATATCTTTGTACCTTTTCAGTTGTCCACCCGGTCTCCTCTTACAGTCTACAAGCTCACCGTAAAGTAGAGATTTTGGTTTGGTGCTGTTTTCTTGCATTCTGCATACGTGACCAGCCTATCTTAAGCGGGACTTTGTAACCATAACTTCAATACTCTCGCAGTTAGCTTTTCCATGGTCCGATACGTTTGAGACATGATGGAACTATTTGATTCTTAAGATTTGTCTAAGATATCCCTGTTGCAACTTGTTTAATGCCGTTCATGTGTCGGCAGTACGGCACCCAGGTTTCGCTTCCATATAACATGGTGGGGATTATTATTGCTCGGTACACTGCAAGTTCCTTTTTGGTGCTTAAGTCATGATTGTAGAAAACCCTGTCTTTTAATTTCCGGAATGCTCTTGAGGCGCTGCTAATCCTGTGCTGAATTTCAGAATCGAAATTGGTCTTTTCCGAAATCAAACTGCCGAGGTAATTGAATTCCGCTACATATCATTATTCTAATAATTCTTCTACGATTTTTATAGCATCGTTGTGATCGTCCGGGGGAGTGCACATGATTTTAATTTTGTCGATGTTAAGGTTAAGGTCCAAAGCTTCGTATGCCCAAGTATATGTGCTCAACATTTCTTGTAATTTGGATATAATTTTGGTATAACTAAAAAAATGGGGACACAGTAGATCTATAAAGTCGCAGTGATTAAGTTTCCCTCTCCCATACAATCGGATTTAAATTGTCTTCGAACGGTGTTATTAAAGATGAACTTTTTAATATGACTAGTGATGTAATAGAGAAAATATTTCCATTTGTGACGAAAAACATTCGCAAATATTCATAAACGTTCTGGATCATTGTGCGGAAACGTTCTCTTATAAGAGCATGTATGAGATAAAAAGAAAACATTCTCTATATTTTTTACATTATTTTAAGGTTATTCTTTATTTTTGAGTCTAAATAACATTATATATATTATATATATATATTCAATAGCTCTACTTGATGTTGTTGGATCTAGTGTTACGGCTCCGAGGACATTAATATATTGATTTTGTTCATCTTCTTTCTGATAATTTTTCGGACGCGGATTTTGAAAAGATCCAAAATTGATTAAACTATCTTCTAACCTTATAAAAATGGCTGGGTTTGTTTGCTCGCGCTCTGGATAACGCTCAAACTATAAATCAGCTGCCATTTGCTTATGTTTCTTCGAAAAATTACTGAGTTATAGCCGATTCTTATCATTTTTAAACAATTTCACTTAGTTAGCCATGGAAACATATTCAATCGCCGTTGCTCTCAGAAATGTGAAGCCGTCACGTTCAAATTTTGTAAATTAAAATAAACAAAAATTGTAAATATGTATTTTTCAAATGAAGAAAAGCGTGGTGATCTCGCACATCAATAGAGTGGTTCCAACATGACTTTCATTATGACACAGCACCCCCCCCACCCCCCATAATGAAAGAAATGTTAAAATTATTTATATCATAATAATTATACAAACGCAGGGATAGGAAGCGGTGGACTAATTGCATGGGCCTCCTCGATCACCTGACCTATCCATTTTAGAATTTTTTATGCGGTATAGTTAACAATAAGGTTTACAAAATAGCTTATGAATTAAGAGAGGCACTCGAAGTGGCGGTACGAGAAAAGTTTAATTAAGTCGACCGGTCCTTCTGTGAGAATAGGTAGTAATTCAGTTTTAAAAAGATGCAACTCAAAACAATGGCGGATTTCTTGAACATTTTCTAAAATAACTTAAAGTGTATGTAGTGATATTATTTTTTTAAGTTTTAATTTGTGTAATGTAAAGAACCGTTTAGTAATTTATACTGACTTTTTATAAGTTATAAATCATAACTGAATAAGAATACCATGCAATCTAAGTGAAATTAGTCAAGAAAGATAAGAATTGGCTATAAGTAAATTTGGTGTGTCGTAGTGAAAGTCATGTTGAAACCACTCGATTGATGCGCGAGTATCTAAATTTAATTTGTCATGTCTTGAAAACCGTTCTCTAAAAACACGTAACATTCACCGGTCAACGTATCCTCGAAAATGTATGGTCAAGAAAAGTTGAACCAATAATCCTACACGCTTTCCTTCATTTGAAAAATGCATATTTACAATTTTTATTTATTTTAATTTACAAAGTTTGGATGGCTAACTAAGTGAAATTGTTTCAAAAAGGATAAGAATTGGCTATAACTCGTAATATATAAAAGTAATTTTTCGAGGAAAACATATTATAGCTTATATCGCTGAAAAGCTTAAAAAATGGCGCTTTTTACGAAGTCATGGCCAACTATGGTTTCCATTTAAAAAAACATATGTTTGTGTCATATGTCAAAAATGACAGGCTTTAGAAAAATATGGAGGGCACAGTCTCATTAAGGACGTGATTATCTACAACTTTTATCTGAAAACTTTTTGTCTAAAATGGCTTATAATGGAATTAGGGACAATTTTTAAAATAGCCGAAATTTGTTTTTTTCGAAATATCTAGTAAGCCATGAACTTTTTCAAAAATCTGAAAAGCGCATATTTATGACCCCACAAAACTGCAATTCTTTCCCCATTTAACCGACTCTCTATCTCCAGTAGTTTCCGAGATACCCATAGAGAACATCGTACGAAACTCACCCTGTATAATATTTATTTTAAAATAAATTATATTTGTGCAAACTGACATTCCATTTTTTTCTTGCAGAGCACTTCACATGAAAGAACATCCCGACTACAAATACCGACCACGACGCAAGCCCAAACCCCTCATTAAGAAAGAACCTAAATTTGGATTCGCCATGTCACCGCTCATATCTCCTTCCATGGACAATGCAAGTCTTCAAAGATCATTGATGCCACCGATCTCAACATCCTCCGGTCTTTCTTCGTTACTTAATCCCGATCCAGACCATCTAAAATTATCCAGATCATTGTTCCCTCCACTACCTTATCTCTATCATCCGTTTCGGCATCCAGAAGAGTCCAAGTTTGCAGCAGAACTAGCTTTATTGTATAGCAACAATCCCCTGTATCCGCCGAATTTCAACTGGCCGATAAATAACATTTCCAGTCAAAACGTTAATAGTAGCAATCCGTGCAATATGTGTCCTCCCACCTTTTCCAGGAGATCGCCCAGTCCAGAATCGATCAAGAGGCCAGTGTGCGTCATTATGAAAAATGACGAATTTCGATCTGAACCCATGCCAGCCCACGTTATTTGAAAACCGCTTCCGGTTCAGCCGGAAAGGCTGAACCACCTGGGCAGTTGGTTTAGCGACATCGCTAATCTGGCAAGTAGTTCTAGCGCTATAGCTGCTAGCACGTCGGTGGGCCTAATGGGGTACAGGGATGGGACGGAATCTGGTAGAGAAAGCACTAGTCCATGTGGAAAATAAGTGGTTTAGATTGGATGAAAATGCGACGGTTATGTGAAAAATGTACTGTGATTATTGTTGTTTTGTTGTTTTAAATTTGTGATTCTGAATAAAACACGAAGTTTATTCCTTTTTTTTTATTTTTGTATATTATATAGGCTTCGGATAAAATTATAAAAAAATCTTACAGTTTAAACATTGTAAATCAAGAAAATATGTAGATATACAGAGTGGTCCGAACTGTATTCCGGAAACTTCGGCAGCATATTATGCAGATAAAAATAAGTAAAAAAAGTTCGTATAAATGTATGTCCTAAAATGCTTAGTTTCGGAGATACAGGGTGTAGAAGTTTCATTTATATTTCGACTTTTTCCAAATAAGTTCTGAAGTAACGTCAATATTATGATGAAAATTGGTGTCTGGGAGTCTTTTGACATAAGAAATTTGATTTTGATGTCAATATCACTCCTATTTGTGGGGGGCGCCACCTACATGTTTTGAAGAATGATAACTTTTTGTCCGTACCTGTATAAAACTACTGAGTGAAAAAATATACATCTCCGTGATTTTTTACGTAAAAATATCTCTTGTCAAAAATCGTTACGAGCAACCGTTCTCAAGATATTTAGAATCGAAATAGTCAATACAATTTCTTCAAAAAAATGATGATAAAACAGTTTCTGTTGAACTTTTGACACAAAAACATTTCAAATTTATGATTTCAGTCTAAAAGCTATTTAGTCAACATGTTTAATTTATGTCAATAATGACAGGTATTGATAATTTCGATTCCAAATATCTCGAGAACCATTACTCGTAGCGATTTTTACCAAACGACCTTATCTACGTAAAAAAACGTCGTAAATGTATTTTTTTCCTCAGTAGTTTTATACAGGTACGGACGAAAAGATATTACTCTTCAAACCAGTTAAAAAACATGTAGGTGGCGCTCCCTAGAAATAGGAGTCATATTGACTTCAAAATCAAATTTCTCATGACAAAAAACTCCCAGATACCAATTTTCATCCAAATATTGACGTTACTTTGAAATTATTTGGAAAAAATCGCAATAAAAATGAAACTCCTACACCCTGTTTCACAAAAACTAAGCATTTTAGGACATACATTTATACGAACTTTTTTACCTATTTTTATCTGCAGAATATGCTACCGAAGTTTCCGGAATACAGTTCGGATCACCCTGTATAGGCTTCGAATAAAATTATAAAAAAATCTTACAGTTTAAATATTTTAAATCAAGAAAATATTGTAGGTATACATACAATTACAAAATACATTACTATATACAAAATACATTACTCAAAATGTACTTAATTTTAATAAACTGAGCCTAAGGAGAAAGTAAACATGTTTTATATTTTTTGTTAACGTTAAAGGTGTTTACCTAGAACCACCATCTAAACACCATCTACCCGTACAGTAAATAGGTAGCTTATTACACACGGTAAATAAAACGCATGGGAAAACTTATCACTATGGCAACAAGTGCTCGCTATCATAGCAAAACTCAAATTCAAAAATGCTTTGACATTAGTGTGACATTATCTAATAATATTTTCCCTAAGTATTTAAATAACATATTAAGTATCATGTAATACTGCATTCGTCGCTCAAATGTACTGGAGTTTTCCGGTTTTTTTGAGCTATCAAAGAACCGAGATTCGAAATTAATTCCTGGTACTTTTGGAACTGCGAGAGTTTTTTTATATTTTCTGTAACTACCCATATCAAACTCTTCCAAGTTAGTATGATATTATTTCTTATTTTTCTTACTTATTTTTCTTTAGAAGTTCGCAATTATTAAAATTTAAATATGTTATTTTTTATTTAGTAATGTGTTGTTTAATGTTTTAGCTCTCTCTCTCTCTCTCTCTCTCTCTCTCTCTCTCTCTCTCTCTCTCTCTCTCTCAAAAATAGTTTTGAGTCGATAATATATGTAGAAAAAAATGAATTACAACCTTCTTAAAGCTAACTGGCATTAAGAAATAAAGGTCCAAATAAATTATGTCTAGGGCTTGACCTGGCCAAAATTATCATCGATTCATAGTCATTCCCAAGACGTCTTTGACCCCGTTTCTTGTTCGATCAGTATTATGTGTTTAATAAATATAACAAGATTGATAATTGAACATGTTTATAACATTTAATCAAAATAACCGAAGTGTTTAGCATTAAGCTGTAACTTTATACTAAGGGCTGGCAAAGGTTAGTCTTGGGTCGAGATTTCCGTATGTAAGAAGAGGACAATGCGTTTATAATGTACTGAACAAAGAGAGAACAATAAACACTTTGCCAAACGTATGTAATGAATCGAGAAACTGTGCACATTGCTAAGAGACGTCGAAGGGGATAAGCAGATTCGTCGCAGTTTACCGGTCGACCCAATTTTAGTACCTCTGTCTGCTGTCTCTGTCAATACTTAAAGTTCTAGGGAAAGGTGTATATCATGCGTTCAGCTTCACGATTTAATTACGTCTCGTGATACTTTATTTGTTTATTTATTAACGAGTCGTTGTAGTTTTCCCTATAGCTTGAAAATTTTTAAGTGCAAGCTAGAAACACTCGCATGTTTGGTAAAAATAAGTAGAATTAAGTTGGTTTTCGACAGTGGTCGGGCTATTAGAACTCTGAATTCAAAAATCGATATCTCGAAATCTATTAGAAATAATTAATTGTAGTTTTTTTCAAAAACTTTCTTAATATTTCTGCTGTATTTTCTTCTTAGACAGTAAGTGAAAATCTTTATCAATAAAACAATTACACGACTGTGGAAAATTGCTATGCTCTAAAAGTAAATAGATGGGTTGTTTACAATTTTTGAATGGAAAAAAACAACCTTATCGATTTTTTCTTATGTAAACATATTGTAAAAGATCCTATCTTCAAAATAAAAAAAGTTTCAATATCTAAAATATTTCTTGAGTTATGGCGTGTTATGTGTTAAAAAGTTGAGTTTTTAAATTATTGCGATTACTGACGTTTTCTCGTTATAAAAAAAATTACAACCATCCTTACAATTCAATATTAGATGCTCAGAAACATTGCTAATAATTTTATCTAGTTATCTTTTCGAAAAAAAAGTCTTTTAAAAATAAGCGGTTTGCGATCGTGATTTTACTTTACTTGATAGGGAAAGGCGTACCGGCAACGCCGCAACAGCACTCCGTCGCATTTCTCTCACTCCGACTTAGTAAGATCCCTATGCGATTTACTTCCACACATGTAAATACCGACCCAAGAGTAACAGTTGCCAGCACGGTATAAATTCAATGAGCGGCGTTCATATTCTTTGTATATTACAGAAAAGTAAATATTCTCGAATCTGGAATGAATTATTATTATACAGGCTCTATTATTAAAAAATAATTGATATATTTAACAACTTATACCAAACCAAAAAAATATTACCTATCAGTGCACCAGCAATAATAATAATTATATTTCTAAACAATAAACAATTTTAAGAAATGTTCTTCAAATAATAACTTAAATCTAGAGGTATGCTCGCAAAAAACTATATGATTTTTTAGACAAATATTAAATATAAATAAATCATCGAATTGGTGTATGTACCTACCAACTAATTTTTATAAAAATGAAATGTGTGCATTAAGTCGCATCAAAAATGTTGTAAATATTGTTAATATATGTATCTAATCATTAACAGTTACTTTTTATTTATATTAAATAATCAACTGTTAAAACTGTAATGTTACTAGTTTATAGTGCAATCAATATTTTTTTTAAATTTCGTTTTAGAAATGTAAGTGTACTGACTGTTCCCCTGTAGATAAATGTAAAATTGTTAACTGTAAAAATAAACACGTTCTTTTTAATAAAATATATAGTGTTTTTCTTATATTATATATATAATAGTTTCTGTCTTTCGCGTTTATTCTCCACCCATCCACTCTTATCCTTCTCAAGTCCTCTTCTACATCCTTTTTCCGACTGATTCCCGGTCTACCCCTCCTTCTCTTCCCACCTATTTCACGTTTCATTATCATACTAGGAATTCTTGCTTCAGCCATTCTTTCAATGTCCTAGCCATCTCAGTCTTTGTGCTCTTGCTACTCCCGTTACACTCGGTGCCCGATATAGTTGCTTTAATTCTTCATTTGTTCTTCTGGTCCATATGTTGTCTATCTTCTTTCCTCCAAAAATCTTTCTCAGTATTTTTCTTTCCCAAATCTCTACCCTCGAACTTTTCGTTGCATTGAACGTCCACGTTTCACATGCATACATCACTATTGGTCTTGTCATTGTTTGGTATATTCTGATTTTTAAACTTCTAGAAATGTTTTTGCTCTTATAATTGTATGTAACGCGCTAACACACCTATTCCCTGTCATTATTCTTGCCATAATTTCTTGAGTTACATTTGCATTCCTTAGAAATACGGCTCCTAGATATGTGAATGTATCTACTTCCTCAAACTTGCATCGTTTACCTACCTCTCTCAGAATTCAATTGTAGACATCTTTCCTTCTCAAAATCCTTATCTGACCACTCCATAAATTTCGTTCTCTTCTCATTAAACACTAAGCCTACTTTTTGTACTTGATTTTCTAGTCTTTTGGTCACCGATATCAGCTCTTTCCGATCTCTTGCTAAGATAACTAAATCATCGGCAAAGGCTGAGTTTTTCTTACTATTAATTAATTATTAATAATCAAACTCTTTAAAGAAAAGCATACAAATTTTGTTAAAATATTCCTCGTTTTTTATAACTCAGATAATAATGGAAACAAATGGGTCTCAAACCATTCCATATAGGGTGCGTCTCGAAAGTCGCTCACCCCTATAACTTTTATTTATATTTTCAGACTAAAAAACGAGAATTGGTATGTTACTAAATGACATAAATTAGGATTGATTGACGTGTTCAATTGTTTTTGGTCACTTCCTGTTTCACCGGAAATGACTACTATATGGACCGTCTATTTCACCGGAAATGACTAACTAACCAAACCAAAATTTTGATTTTTAAATGGCACCCTTGGTATATTTTTACTTTATTCGATAGAAAATGACACTCTGAATAGAATGACATATCATATGTCAACTTTTGGCATTCTCGCTTAATAAAAAATCGTATTTTAAA